GTGTGTGTGTGTGTGCGTGCATGTGCTTGTGTGAGTGTGTAAAAAATGGATTTCATTTAAATAATGAGATAGACGACAAAAATTATCTCAGTGGCATTTTTATTTTATTCATAACGCAAGAAGACTCCTGATTTTTAATGAAGACCTACAGATGGACCCTGATAATAGTTATAGAATGAAAAAAAACTGACCTACTTCTTCCACATATATATATATAAAAATATAGAGCACAACACCATTTAAAAAAATATATAAAGATTTGAAAACATAAAATATAAAATAAACAAACAAACAAACAAACAAACCAAATAAAACCCCACTCACCAGGATGTACATGTTCTATGTACCAGACCAGCAGCCCGTAGACGATGCAGTCGACCACCATCATCAGAGTGACCAGGAACAGGTTAAACTCGTCATGCTCCGTGGGGGAGATAGACAAGTTGTCCCACTGGACACCCACACCCATCTCCTCATAGAAGGCAAAGTACTTGGCACCTAGACCAAACGCCGTGGTGGAGAACAGGGACTGAGGGATAGAGAGAGTAAGCAAGTAAGTAAGTTATTCAGTGTTTAAGGCCCACGGCACATCATATAAAAAAACTAATTTGTTAGATAAAATTTCAATGATGAAAAAGTACAGGTTGTGCACGTATCTCTTATCATGAGTCAAACATTACATATTTTTAGTCACTGAGCCGAGTCCTGCTGGAAGGAATTAACAATTTTTTCTATGGACAAAATTTGGACAATAAAAAATAGGAGAGATAGAGAGAGGGATGTGTAGGAGAGAGAGAGAGGGACCTAGATGAGTGAAAAGATAGAGGGATAGACAAGTTGTCCCACTGGACACCCACACCCATCTCCTCAGAGAAGGCGAAGTACTTGGCACCTAGACCAAATGCCGTGGTGAAGAACAGGGACTGGGGGAATAGAGAAAGGGATGAGAAGGATAGAGAGAGGGATGTGTAGGATAGAAAGAGTGTCATGTAGGATAGAAAGAGATGTAAAGACAGGGAGAATATGGGTTGTATAGACATAAACAGGAGGATAGTGACAGTGTTGTACAGAAAGAGAGAGAAGGAGAGAGAGAAAGAGAAAGAGAGAGAGAGAGAGAGAGAGAGAAAGAGAGAGAAGGAGAAGGAGAAGGAGAAGGAGAGAGAGGGGGGGGGACAGAGAGAGAGAGAGAGAAAGAGAGAGAGAGAGAGA